GGGGGGCTAGTAGTGAGGCGGAGACCCTACTTGATGATGAGGAGGTTGATCGCACTTGGCAGCCTCGTCGTCATCAGGCAATTCTTCCGCATCATCAGGAGAAGAGGGTGGCAGCTTGGCAGTGAGCGAAACAGTCGGTGGGTTGCCCAGGAGACAGACAGCAGCAGGGTCGCAGCAGTGTCAGTGGAAGCAGTGTCAGTGGAGCCAAACGGCCACGGAGTAGAGAGCACCAGCTCCACTGCAGCCTACCACCACGGCCAGTAGTGGTGCCGGTGTGCACGGAGGAAGCAGCAGTCAGCCAGTGAGGAGTATCGGGGGCAAAGTTTCCTACTCGGCTGGGGTGTGGCAATTTTTCGTCAAGCCGCCCGAGGAAGTAAACGTAGCCGTATGTCGACTATGTGGCCAGAAAGTCAAGCGTGGCCAGGGGGCCCATGTTGGGACTACAGCGTTGCGGCAGCATATGCAGCGTCGCCATTTGGTGGCCTGGGAAAACCGTGATAAAGATACGGCGGTTCTGCCCGCCCCAGCCCCCGCTCCATCACCCGCTCCGTTACTTGCTCCGTCACCCGACGTCAATCGCCCTCCATCAGCCAGTCAAGGCTCCAACACCTCTGCTGAGGGGAGTTGTCGCTCGTTGGCATCTTCCGCTCGTTCAGATGCTCCTTCTCCTGCTACTCCTCTTCACGGATTCCGTCAGCAGTCTTTCTTGGAAATCCGTTTCCAAGAGACAACAGTTTGCGAGCACGCACCCGACGGTGCAAAAGCTGAACGTCCTCCTGTCCAAGTTGCTGGTGCTGCAGTCCCTCCCTTTCCAAGTGGTGGACTCAGCACCTTTCAGAGAAATGATGGCTTGTGCCGCGCCGCGGTGGAGAGTGCCAAGCCGTCATTTCTTCGCCAAAAAGGCAGTGCCAGCCCTGCATTCACATGTAGAAAGACATGGTGGGCCAGTCTTTGAGCATGTCGGTCTCTGCCAAAGTGCACGGCAGCGCCGACGTGTGGAGCTGTAACTACGGTCAGGGACAGTACATGTACATGTCATTTACGGCCCACTGGGTGAACGTGGTGCCGTCACAGCCGCACCAGCAACTTGGACAGGTCACGCCGCTTTTGCCTCCACGTTTGCACGTCCTTGGTCCGGCAAAGATGTCCGCCTCTACCACCTCTTCTTCCGCCGTGTCCTCAGCCGCCACCCCCGTGCCAAGTCCCATTACCCGACCGGCATATCACATGTGCAGGGCGCAACGGTGTCACGCTGTTCTGCACCTGGTATGCCTTGGCGAACGTAGTCACACAGGGGAGGAACTTCTGAGTGTAATGAACAGAGAAATCGACAGATGGCTGTCTCCGCGCAAACTGAAAATCGGAACCATGTTGACCGACAACGGAAAGAACATGGTGTCTGCTCTGCGTCAAGGAAGGTTGTGCCATGCGCCATGCATGGCTCACGTGTTGTTCAATCTGGTTGTCCACCATCCCAGCAAGACATCCTAAAATGTCACGTAAATCCCATGCAATTTCAGCCATTCCTACACCGCAAAGCACACCCTCCTTGAGCTGCAGCGGCAGAACGGAATTCCACATCATTGCCTGATCTGCGACGTTGCAACAAGGTGGAATTCAACCCTACACATGTTAGACCGCCTTTACGAGCAGCGAAAGGCCATCACCGATTTCCTGATGTTACAAGCGGATAAAGGTACTCCCCTGTGTAACTTCGATGTCAGCCATTGGCAGCTCATGCGTGACACCTGCCGCTTGCTCAGGCCCTTTGAGGAGGCCACGCTATTCGTGAGTCGGCAGGACTATGGGATGAACGACGTCATTCCTCTGTTGCACGTCCTTGAACAAATGCTGTTAACAATGGCTGGTCAGGGTGCGGTAGACGTGGCGCACAGATCTCAACGCCACATGACCCCTGTGGGGGCAGGACAGGAAGAAGAGGAGGAGGTAGAGGAGGACATTGTGTGCTCAGGAATTATTGAGTGAAATGGGTGGTTTTTCCACTCAGCGGACAGGAGTGGAGGAGCAGGAGCATCTGGTAGAGGAGGAGGAGGAGGAGACAGAGGACCCAGACGCACCGTGGCAGTATGCTGTGGAGATGGAGGCAGGGAGTCCCTCGCATTCCTTGGCACAAATGGCCCATAGCATGCTCGCTTGCTTGCGTAGCGACAGCCGAATAATAACCATCAGATAGAGGGATGACTTTTGGCTGTCCACCTTGTTGGACCCTCGCTACCGTTCAAAAAATGGTGGCCTTTTTCACACCTGCTGAGAGGGAGGCCAAAATAACGTACGTACTATAAAAACCACCTATGTAGTCAGCTTGGTCTCTGCCTGTCTGCGCCAACGTCCATCCTCAGACACTGTGGGCCCTGTGCGCTCGCGGTCCGCTGCCATGGCAGCAGGGGAGGGGTGGGTGGGGTGGTAGGAGCAGTGGCAGCTCCACCAGCAGCGGCTGCCTCAGTCTGCAGTCGATGATGAGTAGCTTTCTTCACCAGCGCAGTGAGGGAAACTACTAACCAGCCGCAGCAGCAGCAGCAGCAGCAGCAGCAGCAGCATCAGGTGGACCTGGAGCAGGACCTCAAACAACAGGCTTAGGCCTACTTGGACAGCACCCTGCCAACCGAGGTAGACAATCCCCTTGACTACTGGGCAACGAAACTTGACCTTTGGCCCCAACTAGCTGAATTTGCCCTTGAAAGGCTGTCATGCCCGGCCAGTAGTAGCGTGGCATCGGAGCGCGTGTTTAGTGCGGCAGGAGGTATTGCAACTCCGCGGAGGACACGACTGTCCACCCAAAGTGTGGAGAGACTCACGTTTGTGAAAATGAATCAGGCGTGGATTAGTCTGGATTTCAAACCACCAGTTCCTGACACAACTGACTAAATCCGCCATGAATCATGCCCCAAACATGTGCCACTTTCAGGTCTCCTCACACTGCTGGTGTGTTCCATTTTTTGTCATAGGGTGCTGGCAGATTACGGGCCTCCCATAGCTGCTGCCAGGCCCCTAATCTGCCATGGGCCCCTATACCGCCTCCTCATGCTGCCTGCCAGGTGTACGGCCTCCCATAGTGTGTCATGGGTCCCTGTACATTTTTTGTCATAGGCCTCCAGATTACGGGCTGCTGTCTCCATCGCCTCCCACACTCTGCCATGTGCCACTTTCAGGTCTCCTCACACTGCTGGTGGGTTCCATTTTTTGTCATAGGGTGCTGGCAGATTACGGGCCTCCCATAGCTGCTGCCAGGCCCCTAATCTGCCATGGGCCCCCGTACCGACTCCTCATGCTGCTGCCAGGCCCGTAATCTGACATGGGCCCCTGTTGTCGCTTGTTGGCATATTCCGCTCGTTCAGATGCTCCTTCTCCTGCTACTCCTCTTCACGGATTCCGTCAGCAGTCTTTCTTGGAATCTGTTTCCAAGAGACAACAGTTTGCGAGCACGCACCCGACGGTGCAGAAGCTGAACGTCCTCCTGTCCAAGTTGCTGCTGCCAGGCTCGTAATCTGTCATGCGCCCCTGTACCGCCTCCTCATGCTGCTGCCAGGTCCAGAGTGTGTCATGGGCCCCCGTACCGACTCCTCATGCTGCTGCCAGGCCCGTAATCTGTCATGGGCCCCTGTACCGCCTCCCCATGCTGCTGCCAGGTCCAGAGTGTGTCATGGGTCCCTGTACGGCCTCCCATTGCTGCTGCCAGGCCCGTAATCTGCCATGGGCCCCCGTACCGACTCCTCATGCTGCTGCAGGCCCCGTAATCTGTCATGGACCTCTGTACCGCCTCCTCATGCTGCTGCCAGGTCCAGAGTGTGTCATGGGTCCCTGTACGGCCTCCCATTGCTGCTGTCTCTATCGCCACACTCTGCCATGTGCCACTTTCAGGTCTCCTCACACTGCTGGTGGTTTCCATTTTTGTCATAGGGTGCTGTATGGCCTCCCATTGCTGCTGCCTCCACCGCCACACACTGTGGCTCCACACTCTGGTTTTGGCCCCGTGACTGCCCAAATGAGTGAAGTTTGCGGTGATTCTAAGATCGACGGCACTCATCTGCATGTCATACTGACTGACAGTATTATTTCTCTTCCCCAGCAGACTCCAAGGGCATTTAAATTAAAGGTACAGTGTTCTGCACTAATATTAAGTCTCTCTGAAGCCTAGAAACACCCTTTTTTAAGTTAAATTCACAGCAAATTTATTCGACTCGAATCGAATATTGTCCACGAATTCGCCGAATCAGTCGAATCGAATTTTTCATTTCTTCGCTCATCTCTATCGAAAACCCAAATGTAAACATGTCAGTCATGGCCAAAAAGCGTTTTATTATAAAAGGGAAACGATATACCATATCTGACTTTTTCAATTGTTCTACCCACTTTGTCATTTATTGTCTCACTTGTCCGTGCAGCCTATCCAGACCCTCTGCAAGAGATTTGGAGAACATAGGTGTCTGGTAAAAGATGGTTCAGACCAGTATATTGTGCCCTGACATTTCCTCGATTCTCATTACCAATCGTCCCAAGGCTTGAAGTGTCTCCCATGGCTGAGCATTTTAAACGCCTTTGTGAGAGAGAAACTTACTGGATTACAGTATATATCCTAGAAGCATTAACCCCTGGGGGATTAAATGAAGAACTTGAAATCATTACTAGAGATGAGCGAATTATTCAAAAATTCGATTCGGCTGATTCGCCGAATTCGCGGAATAAATTCGATTTGAGGCGAATATATATTCGCTGCGAATTTAACTTATAAAAAGGGTGTTTCTAGGCTTCAGAGAGCCTTTATATTAGTGCAGAACACTGTACCTTTAATTTAAATGCCCTTGGAGTCTGCTGGGGAAGAGAAATAATACTGTCAGTCAGTATGACATGCAGATGAGTGCCGTCGATCTTAGAATCACCGCACACTTCACTCATTTGGGCAGTCACGGGGCCAAAACCAGAGTGTGGAGCCACAGTGTGGCGGTGGAGGCAGCAGCAATGGGAGGCCATACAGCACCCTATGACAAAATGGAACCCACCAGCAGTGTGAGGAGACCTGAAAGTGGCACATGGCAGAGTGTGGCGATGGAGACAGCAGCAATGGGAGGCCGTACAGGGACCCATGACACACTCTGGACCTGGCAGCAGCAGCATGAGGAGGCGGTACAGGGGCCCATGACAGATTACGGGCCTGGCAGCAGCAGTGGGCGGGCGGGTGGATGCAGCAGCATTCGGAAGCCAAACACAGGCCTCGGTTAAAAAGCGGAAGCCATCAGCAGCGTGAGCAGACGACAGAGGCACATGGCGCAGGGTGGCGGTGGAGGCAGCAGTATTCGGAAGCCATACACAGGCCTAGGTTAAAAAGCGGAAGCCGTCAGCAGCGTGAGCAGACGACAGAGACACATGGCGCAGGGTGGCGGTGGATGCAGCAGTATTCGGAAGCCAAACACAGGCCTCGGTTAAAAAGCGGAAGCCGTCAGCAGCGTGAGCAGACAACAGAGGCACATGGCGCAGGGTGGCGGTGGAGGGCAGCAGCAATGGAAGGCCATACAGCACCCTATCACAAAATGGAACCCACCAACAGTGTAAGGAGACCTGAAAGTGGCACATGGCGCAGGGTGGCGGTGGAGGCAGCAGTATTCGGAAGACATACACAGGACTAGTTTAAAAAGCGGAAGCCGTCAGCAGCGTGAGCAGACGACAGAGGCACATGGCGCAGGTGGCGGTGGAGGCAGCAGAGTGGGATAAACAGTGCCCTGAGGCTAAAAAGCAGTGAGCGTGAAAAGACGACAACCATCGGAATTCGGAAGCCATACACAGGCCTAGGTTAAAAAGCGGAAACCGTCAGCAGTGTGAGCAGACGACAGAGACACATGGCGCAGGGTGGCGGTGGAGGCAGCAGTATTCGGAAGCCATACACAGGCCTAGGTTAAAAAGCGGAAGCCGTCAGCAGCATGAGCAGACGACAGAGACACATGGCGCAGGGTGGCGGTGGATGCAGCAGTATTCGGAAGCCAAACACAGGCCTCGGTTAAAAAGCGGAAGCCGTCAGCAGCGTGAGCAGACGACAGAGGCACATGGCGCAGGGTGGCGGTGGAGGCAGCAGCAATGGAAGGCCATACAGCACCCTATCACAAAATGGAACCCACCAACAGTGTAAGGAGACCTGAAAGTGGCACATGGCGCAGGGTGGCGGTGGAGGCAGCAGTATTCGGAAGCCATACACAGGCCTAGGTTTAAAAAAGCGGAAGCCGTCAGCAGCGTGAGCAGACGACAGAGACACATGGCGCAGGGTGGCGGTGGCGGTGGGATGCAGCAGTATTCGGAAGCCAAACACAGGCCTCGGTTAAAAAGCGGAAGCCGTCAGCAGCAGCGTGAGCAGACGACAGAGGCACATGGGCGCAGGGTGGCGGTGTAGGCAGCATTATTCTGAAGCCATACACAGGCCTAGGTTAAAAAGCGGAAAGCCGTCAGCAGCGTTAGCAGACGACAGAGACACATGGCGCAGGGTGGCGGTGGCGGTGGATGCAGCAGTATTCGGAAGCCCAAACACAGGCCTCGGTTTTAAAAAGGAAGCCGTCAGCAGCGTGAGCAGACGACACAGAGGCACATGGCGCAGGGTGGCGGTGGAGGCAGCAGCAATGGAAGGCCATACAGCACCCTATCACAAAATGGAACCACCAGCAAGTGTAAGGAGACCTGAAAGTGGCACATGGCAGAGTCTGGCGATGAAGTCAGCAGCAATGGGAGGCCGTACAGGGACCCATGACACACTCTCTGGACCTGGCAGCAGCAAGAGGAGGCGGTACAGGGGCCCATGGCAGAGTGGCGAAGCGTAAGCAGCTTAAATTGAAGGCCATACAGAGGCCTATGTTAAAAATAATAACATGTTTGGGGCATGATTCATGGCGGATTTAGTCAGTTGTGTCAGGAACTGGTGGTTTGAAATCCAAACTAATCCACGCCTGATTCATTTTCACAAACGTGAGTCTCTCCACACTTTGGGTGGACAGTCGTGTCCTCCGCGGAGTTACAATACCTCCTGCCGCACTAAACACGCGCTCCGATGCCACGCTACTGGCCGGGCATGACAGCCTTTCAAGGGCAAATTCAGCTAGTTGGGGCCAAAGGTCAAGTTTCGTTGCCCAGTAGTCAAGGGGATTGTCTACCTCGGTTGGCAGGGTGCTGTCCAAGTAGGCCCAAGCCTGTTGTTTGAGGTCCTGCTCCAGGTCCACCTGATGCTGCTGCTGCTGCGGCTGGTTAGTAGTTTCCTCACTGCGCTGGTGAAGAAAGCTACTCATCATCGACTGCAGACTGAGGCAGCCGCTGCTGGTGGAGCTGCCACTGCTCCTACCACCCCACCCCTCCCCTGCTGCCATGGCAGCGGAACACGAGCGCACAGGGCCCACAGTGTCTGAGGATGGACGTTGGCGCAGAAAGGCAGAGACCAACTGACTACATAGGTGGTTTTTATAGTACTTTATTTTGGCCTCCCTCTCAGCAGGTGTGAAAAAGGCCACCATTTTTGAACGGTAGCGAGGGTCCAACAAGGTGGACAGCCAAAAAGTCATCCCTCTGTCTGATGGTTATTATTCGGCTGTCGCTACACAAGCAACCGAGCATGCTATGGGCCATTTGTGCCAAGGAATGCGAGGGGACTCCCTGCCTCCATCTCCACAGCATACTGCCACGGTGCGTCTAGGTCCTCTGTCTCCTCCTCCTCCTCTACCAGATACTCCTGCTCCTCCACTCCTGTCCGCTGAGTGGAAAAACCACCCATTTCACTCAATAATTCCTGAGCACCAATGTCCTCCTCTACCTCCTCCTCTTCTTCCTGTCCTGCCCCCACAGGGGTCATGTGGCGTTGAGATCTGTGCGCCACGTCTACCGCACCCTGACCAGCCATTGTTAACATCATTTGTTCCAGGACGTGCAAAAGAGGAATGATGTCGTTCATCCCATAGTCCTGCCGACTCACGAATAGTGTGGCCTCCTCAAAGGGCCTGAGCAAGCGGCAGGTGTCACGCATGAGCTGCCAATGGCTGACATCTAAGTTACACAGGGGAGTACCTTTATCCGCTTGTAACATCAGGAAATCGGTGATGGCCTTTCGCTGTTCGTAAAGGCGGTCTAACATATGTAGGGTTGAATTCCACCTTGTTGCAACGTCGCAGATCAGGCGATGCTGTGGAATTCCGTTCTGCCGCTGCAGCTCAAGGAGGGTGTGCTTTGCGGTGTAGGAATGGCTGAAATGCATGCAAAGTTTACGTGACATTTTAAGGATGTCTTGCAGTGGGATGGTGGATTTTAGGAACCGCTTGACAACCAGATTGAACACGTGAGCCATGCATGGCGCATGGCACAACCTTCCTTGACGCAGAGCAGACACCATGTTCTTTCCGTTGTCGGTCAACATGGTTCCGATTTTCAGTTTGCGCGGGAGACAGCCATCTGTCGATTTCTCTGTTCATTACACTCAGAAGTTCCTCCCCTGTGTGACTACGTTCGCCAAGGCATACCAGGTGCAGCACAGCGTGACACCGTTGCGCCCTGCACATGTGATATGCCGGTCGGGTAATGGGACTTGGCACGGGGGTGGCGGCTGAGGACACAGCGGAAGAAGAGGTGGTAGAGGCGGATATCTTTGCTGGACCAAGGATGTGCAAACGTGGAGGCAAAAGCGGCGTGACCTGTCCAAGTTGCTGGTGCGGCTGTGCCGGCACCACGTTCACACCAGTGGGCCGTAAATGACATGTACTGTCCCTGACCGTAGTTACAGCTCCACACGTCGGCGCTGCCGTGCACTTTGGCAGAGACCGACATGCTCAAAGACTGGCCCACCATCTCTTCTACATGTGAATGCAGGGCTGGCACTGCCTTTTTGGCGAAGAAATGCCGGCTTGGCACTCTCCACCGTGGCTCGGCACAAGCCATCATTTCTCGGAAAGGTGCTGAGTCCACCACTTGGAAAGGGAGGGACTGCAGCACCAGCAACTTGGACAGGAGGACGTTCAGCTTCTGCACCGTCGGGTGCGTGCTCGCAAACTGTTGTCTCTTGGAAACGGATTCCAAGAAAGACTGCTGACGGAATCCGTGAAGAGGAGTAGCAGGAGAAGGAGCATCTGAACGAGCGGAAGATGCCAACGAGCGACAACTCCCCTCAGCAGAGGTGTTGGAGCCTTGACTGGCTGATAGAGGGCGATTGACGTCGGGTGACGGAGCAAGTAACGGAGCGGGTGATGGAGCGGGGGCTGGGGCAGGCAGAACCGCCGTATCTTTATCACGGTTTTCCCAGGCCACCGAATAGCGACGCTGCATATGCTGACGCAACGCTGTAGTCCCAACATGGGCCCCCTGGCCACGCTTGACTTTCTGGCCACATAGTCGACATACGGCTACGTTTACTTCCTCGGGCGGCTTGACGAAAAATTGCCACACCGCCGAGTAGGAAACTTTGCCCCCGCTACTCCTCACTCACTGGCTGACTGCTACTTCCTCCGTGCACACCGGCACCACTACTGGCCGTGGTGGTAGGCTGCAGTGGAGCTGGTGCTCTACTCCGTGGCCGTTTGCCTCCACTGACACTGCTGCGACCCTGCTGCCTCCTGGGCAACCCACCGACTGTTTTGCTCACTGGCAAGCTGGCACCCTCTTCTCCTGATGATGCGGAAGCAATAGCCTGATGACGACGAGGCTGCTGCCAAGTGCGATCAGCCTCATCATCATCAATTAGGGGTCTCCGCGTCACTACTAGCCCCCTCGGCTGCGTGTGGGTCAGGAGACAGACCTGTCTCTAGACCGGCTACCGAGCCACTCTCCTTGCCAGTACTTCTTCGTCTGGCTGCTGAAGAGGCGGATGTCTCCCCCCGTTCCTGACCGCCCTCTGTTAGCTCTTCCTCACTGTACAGTGGGGCTGAGCCCACAGCATGCGATACTTCGCTTAGTGAGGGAACACCAAAGGACAGGGGCAGGTAGAGGACACGTGATTTCAGTGGGCTTGCTCCCGGGCCATGCCAACTAACGGTTGTGTGTCTGACGTACCCACCGACCGTTGGCTGTAGGTGTCAGAGGTGACCTGGGAAGAGGAAGACGACCCGAGTCAACCAATCGATGACGGCAGGGTTGTCGGTGGAGACACGACCGCTGGATGACACCGGGAGCACTGGCCTCTGGCTGCGACTAGTGCTGCCTCGACCCCTTCCTCTGCTGCCACGTCTGCTCGCTCCTGAAACATTGCCTCCTCTGCCACTCCTCTGCGTGTTGTCTGACATACTCTTTAATTCAATAAGCACCCCAAACATAAAACAGGATTTAACTCTTTGAACGTACAATAGTGGTTGTGAAGCAGAAAGTAACGATTCTGTGTCCCTGAGTAACAATTCTGTGTCCCTGAGTAACGATTCTGTGTCCCTGAGTAACGATTCTGTGTCCCTCAGTAACGATTCTGTGTCCCTGAGTAACTATTCTGTGTCCCTGAGTAACGATTCTGTGTCCCTCAGTAACGATTCTGTGTCCCTGAGTAACGATTCTGTGTCCCTGAGTAACGATTCTGTGTCCCTCAGTAACGATTCTGTGTCCCTGAGTAACGATTCTGTGTCCCTGAGTAACGATTCTGTGTCCCTCAGTAACGATTCTGTGTCCCTGAGTAACGATTCTGTGTCCCTGAGTAACGATTCTGTGTCCCTGAGTAACGATTCTGTGTCCCTCAGTAACGATTCTGTGTCCCTGAGTAACGATTCTGTGTCCCTGAGTAACGATTCTGTGTCCCTCAGTAACAATTCTGTGTCCCTGAGTAACAATTCTGTGTCCCTGAGTACCGATTCTGTGTCCCTGAGTAACGATTCTGTGTCCCTGAGTAACAATTCTGTGTCTGTCCCTGAGTAACGATTCTGTGTCCCTGAGTAACAATTCTGTGTCCCTGAGTAACGATTCTGTGTCCCTGAGTAACGATTTTTGTGTCCCTGAGTAACAATTCTGTGTCCCTGAGTAACGATTCTGTGTCCCTGAGTAACGATTCTGTGTCCCTGAGTAACAATTCTGTGTCCCTGAGTAACGATTCTGTGTCCCTGAGTAACGATTCTGTGTCCCTGAGTAACAATTCTGTGTCCCTGAGTAACAATTCTGTGTCCCTGAGTAACGATTCTGTGTCCCTGAGTAACGATTCTGTGTCCCTCAGTAACAATTCTGTGTCCCTCTGTAACAATTCTGTGTCCCTGAGTAACAATTCTGTGTCCCTGAGTAACGATTCTGTGTCCCTGAGTAACACCTCTGTGTCCCTGAGTAACGATTCTGTGTCCCTGAGTAACAATTCTGTGTCCCTGAGTAACAATTCTGTGTCTGTCCCTGAGTAACGATTCTGTGTCCCTGAGTAACAATTCTGTGTCCCTGAGTAACGATTCTGTGTCCCTGAGTAACGATTCTGTGTCCCTGAGTAACGATTCTGTGGCCCTAAAGTCTCTGTGGCCCTAACTCTGTCCCTAATACAGAGAGGTCTGTCTCTCTTGAATGACCGGAGGCTAATGGAGAATTCTAAGATGGCCGCGATTTATAGCTCCACCATTACACAGTGCTGGCTGCTGATTGTCTAATGCGATCACATGTCATGAATGAATGCATTATGGGTCAGCGCGCCTTGTCTGCGCGCCTTCCCAGAGATCCCCGCTCCGTCGCCACACATGTCGCCGCCATTTTTGGGAAAATTTGATTCGTGCATCCGAAGTTTGCTAATTTTCGGATTCGGCGCGAATCTTTTCCTAATCTTCGAAACGAATTCCACTTCGTCATGTTCGATTCGCTCA